AATCTGTAAATCTCGAACCATCCATTTCATGGACAAGAACTTCTGCGAGACGTCGCATAAATCTGGCTCCATCTCCGAAACTAGTCCCTGTATTACAAAGTTCACACTGAAGAAAATTTCAATGCGTCTAGAGGTAGAAAAGTGCACCACTTCGATTGATTGAAACCAGCTAAATGTGATATATTATTGACTGATTAAGAGTGTAATATTTACACAAACATCTGAGTTCGGATAAATTTCAATGATCTACGCATATTGTGTGTAACTCGTTTTCTTCTTAACACATTGTCTTGGGTAAAGGCCGAAATATTACTCATATTTTTGTGTAACATTACGCGCTTCTCATGTTTACACAATATTATGTGTTGAGTTTACACTCGTAACTGAGTTTACACACGTAACTGAGTGAATTTACCGAAACTAATGAGTAAATATTTACTCAAAATGTTCTGTAAATGATCTATTTACCGAGTATTTTGTGTTAAATTAACACAATAATTTGAGTTAAAAATTTACTCCCATTTTTGTGTTAAATTTACACAAAAAATTGAGTTGAAAAGAAGATCTTACGCAAAATCAGGTGTAAATTTACACATCATTAGTTACAGTGTATGTAATTGCTATACTTTATTTAGACTATACATTTGATTAAAAACTAGTTATAGAATAACTATAAAATATTGTAATAATATAAAAAATGTAATATAAAATTTAATTTTGAACACAAAATTTAGTTAAAATGATATTGTTTTAAGAATCATGATTTAACCACCCCATTTGATATGTGATTACTTTCTGATCCATTTACCAATAATGAAGAACTAGGATTATCATAAGCTCCATCTTCGTTAATATTTAAAACCTGACGGCCATGCTCCGGTCTGTTCCATTTTTGTTCTGTCCCACTTGCAAAAACAAGAAAGAATATCATTCCAAAAACGTTAATGAAAGCGGCAATATAGAACACGATCTGCCATTGATGACGAGTTGGCTGTAAGAAATATAAGAGGTTAAAAATTGTCCATAGTACAGTCGCTTAGGTCCTGACAATGGTAAACAAACACACGTGATGTTTTCACAAAATTAAATCATATGTAGGTTTAAAAAACCTTTTTCTGCACTTCACTTGATTGAAACTGAATATTGGAGTAGGCGGATAATCCAAGTGACGATATACGTACTGTATATACACTTTTTATACCAAACAATATATAAATTAAATTAATAATTTTTTTTGTGGTTCTGTGGCGAGAAACGAACCTATCGAAGGGAAGCCTATCGAAGGGAAGATGAATATGAAACTCATTAATTAGAATAACAATATAACTCAATACATTATCTAGGTTGGTCAACGTTTATTCATAAATCTAGTCCTTCACCGTCACGTGTGTATTGTATTTTTGTTAAATCCACCAATAGCAATTTCCAATTCCCCTATTTTTCGCGTCACGGATACCTTTCCTAAAACATTGCTATTGGTTGGTTGGGCAAAAATACAATACACACGTGACGGTAAAGGACCAGATTTATGAATAAAAGTTGACTAACATAGATAATGAGTTATATTGTTATTCTAACGAGTTTCACAACCAACTGCCCTTCGATTGGCTATGTTTTAACAAACTCCTTAACAATTGACGAGGAAAGACAAAGGAAATCACTACCGTGTTGGTGGTTTTATATATGATAAAAATCATGTTAATTTACAAAAACTTCAGCTTTGATTTTCTCGACAGTGTTGGTTTAAAAATTACTTCGTCAACGAACTCATATGATGGGTTGGTTTTAAGTAATTTAAAACACGCGAATTAATTTCAAAATTATTCAAGTTATTATCTCATTTACATGTACACAGGTTAAACTTTGTCAAAAAGGACGCATGGAAACAAAATCTACAAAAGAAATTACTTACCAATAGGGTCGGGCGTACCTACAGATATCAAGATTTTGAGCCTCTCTCTCGATTGAGCTAACAGTTGAAGGTTTTTGTAGACAGAAATTTCGAGCGGAAGATTATATACAATTTTCAGACCTAACCAGGAGCATTCTGGTTAATGCTCGTAACTTGACTCTGTCGCTCAGTTGGTTAGAGCGGTGCACCTGAATCGCAGGAGTTCGATTCCTGCCAGAAAGCCTATAGTTGCATTTTTTGCAGCTGTCCTCGTTAGGTCTGAAAGTTGTATTGATAATCAACCGCTTGTATATTTCCATGTACAAAAACCCCTCAACCGTTCTCACAGAGAAGCTCCATGCAGTAACGGTTCCAAAAGAATATAGATACAAATACAAAAATATTACAAAAAAAAGATAAACTACATAACATCCACAAAAATATCAACGCATAACATCACTAGGCTGCACGAACACTAGCAGCACAAAATGTTACTGACAGAATCCATGCGACGGGTTAACAACGACTTTACGTTCATGATTTGATTTTACCTTTTTATTAGTGAGTAATCCAACGATGTATGGTGATAAAATTCCTGACATAGTTCCCATAGTGTTTGTGATTGCCATTAACACACCGGCATATCTGGTACCGATATCCAAGTGGTTGATGGCGTAACCTGATTGAAGACATCCATTGCCAATTAATGCAAACGATAAGAAAAACACAGCTAACGCTGTCTGATGACATCCAACGAAACTAGCACCAATCAGTGAGCTTGCAGCTATAGTGAATCCTGAAAATACAATAAAGTAAAAACATCACTTTCGAAACACTGTGGTAAAAATGTTCTAGTGTTTGATTTTAGTTATAAAATCAAACACTATTATAGGTATTATTTATTGAAAGTTTTCTGACTTAATATTCACTTCTACGAGCTTTCGGCTATCATTCTAAGTAATATAGCCTTCGACGGGTGTATACAAATGATTCTAGGTTGAAACTTGAAACTTAGGTGGTATGAAATCTGAGACTATCTAGTATATGCTATGTTACTAATGGAGAATATGAATATTTAATTTATGTTTCTTGAGTTCCTTTCTTAAAAGTTTTGTGTATAGTGCTGGAAGCGTATACACATAGGAACCATAGGAACCTTATATAGAGTCCTGGCACACTGCACTAACAGACGAAGCTGATAATAACTCTACTACGCTTCCAGCACAATACTTTTAAATTACGAAAGGAACTCAAGAAACATTAATTAAATATTCATTTGTAACATAGCATATAGATAGTCTCAGATTTCATACCACCTACTTAAGTTTAGCGTCCTTTAGAATCATTTGTATATACCCGTCGAAGGCTATAGACTGATAGCCGAAACTCGGCCCAAAAGCTCGAATAAATAAATAATTATTAAGCTTAAGTCAGACAACGTTCAATAAATAAAGATTCAATCTGGCTGCGCATCCTCTATTTTTTCACCTATCATAGGTATTCATTATAGCCAAGTCCAATAATAGGCTACATGTGCCTATTTGACAACGTGCTAGCCTATCCCACTGGAAAAAAATTAAAAATCCATAGAATGGAATTTTAATTGAAATAGAATGGATTTTTGATTATCCATAATAATTGCATATTTCCATACTATGGATATAGTATCGAAATACTATGGATATACTATGGATTTAGTCTGTGGTGCAATTAACTCAAACAACTTCATTTTTACTGCGATAAAACGTTTGATGAGATGATTGATTTTCAAAACTCAACCCTTTCTGGGGGAGGGGCATTTAACGCCCCTAAGAAAGCTCGGAAAAAACCCTGCAAAGGGATTGGGTCTATTCATTAACAATTAAAATGTTCATTAACTAATGTTTGATATAAAGGATACTAATGAACGTAAAGCTGCAGTTGGGATTGGGGACATACTACTATTGAAAAACTAAAATAAAAAAAAAACAACTTCAGCGTTTCGAGCGAAAGCCCTTCATCAGCCACGACAAGGGTCTTCGCTCGAAACGCCGAAGTTCTGCTTATATTTTTCAGGTTGTTGTATATTCTCAGACCGCCACTGTCTGGTATCGTATCTCCCTGCATTCACACCGACTGTTCGAGATTTAATTAATGAACGTACTATTTTATACAACATTTTAACGCTATTTGGCGATTCAAAAACACTTCGAACGATGGTTGAACTATGTAGACTATATATACATACGAGGTCTACACGAATATTCTCAAGAAAAAGAATTCAAAACGAAATTGCATGGAAAAGAATTTCAAATTTCGAATTACGTTGTGCAAGTGAAATTAAAGATAGCTTAGATACCATGCTAAAGGCTGGGCATTATTTATGGCGGGGCGTGGCTCGTAAGAGGAAAGAGTAGGGCAAACAAAATTTTGAGTGAGTAAAAGGTTAGCTAAATGAAAAGCAAACCAACTCAAGATTCGGGTAATAAAATTTTATTGTCATCTCCAAAGCATAACTCACTAAAATATTGAAGATTAAAACGCAATCTCAACATTCGTATGACGTATGTCAACACAATATGTAAATCAATCTGAGTCACTATGGTGATAAGCAAAGAAAAGCTTTTTTCCTACTATGTGTATTTAATCACATAATTTATAAATTTTGTAAATTTAGTAAATTTAAAAGTTCTTTCGATATTAATTCATAGATCAGTAAACTATTGTTGTAATATAATGCCAGTAACACAAGGTACTTTTTAATATTTTTAACTAAAGTTTGTAAATAATTTCGCAATTCGCTTTCATCGAGCGCGACGATTTTATAATAAACCATTAATAATAATAATAATAATTATAATAATTTTCCGATTTTTCAGGCAAATGGTGTCGCCAAACAAAGCAGACAACATGAAACTTTACTCCCGAAAATTATACAAGCAATTTTGCACAAGCACAATCAGCTATTCTATACAGTTATTTCCTTTCTTACGACATCACAAGAAGTAATAATTACTTATTTGTTATTGTAGTTATGTGTTTTGTATAATTGTCAATGATTTATTTATGTATGTAGTCCAGACGCCTCCCTATTGAAACTAGCTTTTGATGATGGGGCTAGCGTCATTAAATAAAGTTTTAAATAATCATTTTCATACCTGTTGTGTTTGCAATTTTTCTAACCATTTCGGTTGAACACAGTCTTTTACGGCGAACATAATCCGCGATATTTCCAACCACAACAATAGATATAAAGTTACAGATAAACGGAATGGCAGAAATAAGGCCGTTCTGAAAAACATAATTATTTATATAATTAATTTCTTTTACTTTTCTCTCATATATACTGGATATGTAAATACTCTAATAATATTTTATTATTTGACGTATTATATTGATGTATTATGTAGCATTTCAAATCCAAATATGAGGACTGCCGTAGATTTCAAGTACGAGCAATTTGATCAAGTCCGATCAAAATGCGAGAAATTGAAATCTAGTCCAGTCCGAATTGTGTAGGATTTGAAATGACATCTCATACGACAAATCATTACCTAAGCCCGTTTTCCACTAGCGAATTTCTTCGTACGACGCGAATTTTTATTGCTAAAATTTAAAAGAATTTATTAAAAATCTAATCAGTTCCAGCCGAGAGCTTATAAGACAAAAGATTCGCGCGACAAATTTCGCTCGTGGAAAACCGGCTTTAAAGTGAAGTTAGTAGTAATATAGGTACCGTTCGGACCTGTTTTTTTTTTTGGGGGGGGGGGGAAGCGCAAATGCACAGCAGGGCGGAGCAGAGGCACTGCGGGGCGGTGGAGGGGTAGTGGAGGGCTTATTATGTATGAATGACGTCACATAATTATGTGCATGACGTAACTCGAGACGTACTTGGGCATGCTTGGGCGAAACAGTCATTAAACTGAGCGCAGCATTTTCGTTGATGATAAACACGAACCCGAAGAACATCTTGACTTGGAATAGAAAAGGACAAATCGCTTACAGAGAACATAATCCACGAGCCAACGGTGCGGAGCGCAGTTCCGCGCGTAAGCCCGGAGCGAGGGTACTAATTCCGCCCGGCTATCTACACCCGGGGAAACGAAAGCATTAGCGAAGTCGAAAGTTCATCAATGATCGCGGGCGTGGGTCACCTACTTTAAATACTTCATGTTCGGAAAATACAATGGTTTTGTCAGCAAGGCGAGGGGTTTCTGCATGGATGTACTTTCTAGTATACGAGGAAGTGACATTGTAGACCTTCTGAAATAATGTGTGACGCCTTATCATCCAGATGTTCCCGAACCGACTGGATTGAGCATATTTTTACAAGAATTGGAAATTGATAAAAGTCTAATCGTAAATGGACGCGTCCTCACTGTGTTAGCCCACAAGTGGTCGCGTCAGAATATAATCTGAGGATGATGATACTGACACAACTTGTAACAGTTGTAACAAAGATATATAGGCCTACATCCCCCATTTGAGTACATGTCTTGTGTGTGCATGGACAGATTTTTGTCCAAATTGTAGAAGGTGTCACTGTATGATCTGTGATTTTCGAGTCTCCAAAGGAGATTTTAGGCATGTAATCACCAGCTGTCCACATTGTCGCCGAGATGAAATTATAGATGTAAGAACGAATTAAAGACCTTAAACCATAAAATAAGAGAACAAAGTGATATTTTATCAGTTGACTGTGTGAAGTTGAACTGAACACATCAACATGCCAAGAGGTATTCATGCAACATCAACATCAACATCAACAAGAGGTATTCTTGTACCAGACGCAAAACTATTGAAAGACCATTTCTTGAGGCAGCAACGTGGTGGAAATGTCGCTGGGTTTCGTAGTGTACGTACGCAGAGGGGATATGGGATCAAGAGGAGACCTATTAAAGACAGGGTGCTAAATTCTTTAATACGTTGAATCCCAATATACGTAACTCTTCATCTGTATTTAGATTTCAGAATATGTTAAAATTTGTTTCTCTTTTCTCACTGTGCACATATAATCTCAATAATTTATTTATTTCAAATACGTCACGTGATGCTTTCTTTGTAACATTTGTATTTAATAGAATATAACATGAGGTAACATCACTTGTCTGGAGGATCCAAAGGATACACGACGCTTAAAATATTATAGATATATATTACAGAAGGAAATGTGATCAACTGTTACTTATTTGTATTGTGCATGGTAAACCAAATCAATAAGTCATTCAAAAAAAAAATAATATAAAACGGTAGATTACCTCACGTATGTTGACGCCAAGAATGTCTTTAAAGTATGTTGGCATGTTCGTAAGAAGCGTATAGAAAAACCAGTTGTTAGCAAAATGTGAAACTATGATTGCCCAAACTGGGACAGATGTCATAATCGATTTCCAAGGCGTTTTGTAACCCTGAAAAACACAGCAAATGAACTTATTAAATAACTTTGCTTATACCAAGTGGTTTAGCTGTACAGCTATGGTGAAGTCGATCCTTCATCTTTTCCATAGGCAGCTCAATAGGTGCCTACCTATTTGACAAAAAAATTCAACTTTTAATAAAACTGTTTGATATGGCGAAAATGTTTAGGAAACAATGCATTTCTGCAGTTCTGGTTGCATGCAACGGGCGACGTCACTCAGTGCATACTAATAAGTTTTAGTATACACCTACTAGTAGGCTATCACATTTCGTGCCTTCTGATTGGCTACGCTACTAGTAGGCTATTAGTGATAGCCTACTAATAGAAAATTCAAAATGGCGGAAAATTCGCGTTTTGCACTTTTGCCGAAGTGTCTGATGATTTTTTGGACGACTTGTTGAACAATTCTGTACTAAAAAATCCCGGAAAAAGCAACAAAAATATGGAATGGCAATTTTTAAGGGTAAGAAAATAGACAAAATAACATACACTCAATGAAATTTTAAATTTAAAACTGAATTTTGTAAAACATTTTACGCGAACAAAAACTAAAATATTTGTTTACCTTTAATGGTTTTATAATGTTTTTTTGTGTATTTTTGTATTGTGTTTGCAGCCTAGTTGTAAATTAATGTTAAAGTTTATACTAAAACAATTAGACAACTCGGCCTCGTTGTCTATGAGCAAATAGTCAACTCGGCTTCGCCTCGTTGACTATTCGCTCATAGACAACTCGGCCTCGTTGTCTAATTGTTAAATAGTTATTCCTAATGTTCGCAATTAAATCAAACTAAACATCGCGCTATATCTTAAAAATATCGAAAAACACTGAGAATATTTTAACAAAACTTGAATCTACGATAGTTTACTACATTCTTGCAATATTTTTGCTGAGGAATGAATACCTAAAACGAAAAAAAAACGAAACGTTTTCCGCAATTGTTCAATGTTTTGATGGCATTATGCTGGATGCGTGGAACCCGCTGTACGCAGGATTTTCAAATGACGAATACACAATCTCATTGGCTGTCATTGACCGACGGTTGTTTTTCATTATTTTGTTTTTACATTAGATAGACAATGTTCATTAAGATGTGTTGTTATATATATTCACTGCATGCATGTGGTATATATTCTGGCGTCAAAACTGGCTGATTTAATTTGAACCGAACTCTGCACTAGCTGCAAGGGCGGGGCACAAAAAAATTGATTTACTTACTTCTAGATTTTTGAGGTATTCGAAGTTTGTTAATTCTGCTGCAAATGTCTAACATGTTAAGTATTTGACAATGAAAACAAAAATTAGGACAGCAATCAAATATTTAAATGTGAAAAAAATGTTCCTTTTCTCAATTCGCACAATCACAGTAACAAGAGAATCAGGGATATATATTAGATTTAATTTTTTACTAAAGTATATTTATTCAACGTATCTGTAAATTGAAATCTGCTGTGTTGGTGTAATGTACTCAGGTGAATAAGATGTTTGTGTGAATGTTACTTCGTAGGTTCGAATCGTAGGTTCGAATTCGTAGGTTCGAATACCGCCGTGGCCAGGCATATTTTTCAAGCCTGCCCGGTGTGGATATACACTCAGAGTAACACACAAGTATCTGTAAATTGTAACCAAGAAACTACTGGGCGCGCTTTCATGGCTGTACGCTGCTATCCTTGTTGTTGACCAAAGCCAACAAGGGGGCACATCCTTGTGCAACAAACACAATTAGTCCTCCACAGATTTCTGATCCTGTACATACCTGCCCTTTCGGCGTTAAATGGTCTTGTTCTTCACCAACAGTTGTTTCTATATACTCAAGTTCTTCCTTCGATATTGTCGGATGTTCTCTTGGCGTATCATGAGCGAAATACATCCAAGCAAAAAACCAAAGGAAACCAAATGTCCCTTTAAACAAGAATAAACAAGAATGTCCAGCCTGCTGTGTACTCTATTTTAGGGTTGGGGCGGGTTGGACGCTATTTTAAAAATCTTGTGAAACTCAAGAAATTATAAATGAGTGTGAAAGAGTTTGATGTATATCTGATTTTTCACCAAATATCATTCACTTCTTTTAAATTGTTGAAGAATGCGAATGTTCTCATCAAGATATTATCATTAGTGATGTCATAATTTTTAACAATGTTGAGACGCAATCAGCGCGCTGAAAATATCACGCATACTGTACTGTATACGTGATCATCAGTTTCCTATCCAGTATTTTTCAGATCCATGGCGTGACTCAGTAATTTATGCAAATGCAGCAAAACATGACTTGATACTTTTGTGTGTTGCTGTTATGTACACAGGTGAGTACGATGTTTTTGGTGTTATTCTGAGTGTGCATCCACACCGGACAAGCTGAAAAGTTAGCCTGACCACGGTGGGAATCGAACCCGCGACCTTTGGGATACTAGTCCAATGCTCTACCAACTGAGCTACGAGGTCAAGTCGGTTCGAGTTGGTGATATTTCGGAACTAAGTTTAGTTCCTTCGGTATCAATGTGTTTTAAGATACAGGTATGTTACTTTTTGTGTGTGTTGGTGTTATGCACTCAGGTGAATATGATGTTTGTGGTGTTACTATGAGTATGCATCCGGGCAAGCTGAAAAGTTTGCCTGACCAGTAGTATCTCAAAGGTCGCGGGTTCGATTAGCCACCGTGATCAGGCAAACGTGGGAGGTCCCACCGAGACTTTTATACATAAAAGAAGCTGTGAATGCGAAGAAAAAAGTATGACTTAACGCTTTCCTAAATTCTTGATTTTCGTATTTTGATCTTTGATTTTGGTGAACTGCTGGCGATTATGGCTGCATAACTACAAGTAGTCCGTGTGTTGTGATCCGATATCGTTCACTTTCATTAAGCATGTCTTAGATCTGAAATATTTTTACGGGAACTAACACTTTCGAACACGCGGAGTTCAAATCCGAAAAGTTCCCACTCCGTAGACCCGAAGTTTTCTCACAAAATGCTATTTTATCTTCACCAATTTCACAACAAATTTTTTCATTGTTCAACGATACGGATCGATGACGATACACGATTATGTCACTCAAAAGGACCAACTTCTATTAACCATTCTTCCTTGTAACAAAAGATCGGTTTTGCTCGAATCATTTTGAGTTGTGCAATCTTATGCGTGTTGGACGTAAACAATATATCTTATCTACAACTTTGAGAAGGTACAGATAATGCTTTCTAAAATCCTCAGTTCTAGAGATATCTCTATAAAATCACACGGACATTAATGTCAAGTCTTTTAGCTATGTCACTGGCCTGAAAAGTAACTAATTTAACGCGATCAAGATATTTAAAACAAAAGTAACACGAAGCCAACGTAACGGCAAAGACAACACTAAAACGAAATATTGTCGAATGGTTGCAGGTAGAAGACTTACGACAGGATCAATCTTAAATAACCTTAAACTATAAGAATAAATAAGTTCTTTGTATGTTTGCATGGTGATAAAATATAATAGGTTATGTTTGTGGAAACACCACGTAAATTTATTACTGCGAAGTTTTCGATCCGTAAGCCCGGATCTTCATCAGTGCTAATAATATGTGACTTGTTTAATTCACACGCTCTTTTTATATACAAAAGTGTCGTGATCTGTTGGCTCGCGCCATTTGAAATTTAATTAAACGGCACATCAACCACGTCATTTCAAACGTACTGTAGTGAAGTGATTCCAATTAACGCGTGCGCATCCAAGACACAGAATAGGAAGTTATACCAGAAGCGTAACTCTAGTCGTTTCCCTTATTGTTTGACGTCCACGAAAATTTTTAACTCGCTCACGTCAGGCCACGCCATCCTGGCTAGTACAGCCGGAAGTTTTTATCAGGATTTGGTAGGTACAAAGTGCCGGTTGTGCTAGCCAGGATGGCGTGATTGATGACGAATCGCTTGTAAAAACGCGGACAAATATTTGCTCGAGTTACGCTTCTGGTATAACTTCCTATTCTGTGTCCAAGACAAGAGAAATTAATTTTGCACATTAAAGAGAGCACGCCACGTACTATCTAGTGGCTTTCCCTCCTGATCTATAGTATTGTGCTTCTCAATTTCAATTGACTCTCTCATTTTCCGAGAGAACTTATGACTATCAATCGTCAAAATGGTTGCTTCGTCCCATTTTATACGATGGTCGTAAGTCCAAGTATGTTTAGCCACAGCAGATTTATCTTGCTCGGCTTTCTCGCAATTCGTCTTGTGTTCCTTAAGACGTACTGAGAGATTTCGACCAGTTTCACCAAAGTAAACCAGACCACATTCACAAGGAATGCGGTACACACCAGGTTTCTGAGATTCATTTACATTGTCCTTATGTGTGCAAAGAGCTCGAAACAATTTGTTTTCGCTGCAATGGTATACCTTTATACCTGCTTCATTCCTCAAAATTCTTTCGATTTTGTGTGAAGCCGGACCAATGTATGGTAGACAAACAAACGACTGATACTCAATCTTCTGCTGTATACTTTGTGGCGTTTTCATAGCATTATCTATGAAATGCCGTGGGTAACCATTCGTTTTTAGAACATTTCTTAAATGTTCTAATTCATTGTCAACGTTACTTACCTCACAAATTGTTTTCGCTCGGTTGATGAGTGTCTTACACACAGAGTTTTTGATACTAGGATGATGAAATGAATTATAACGCAGATACCTGTCTGTATGTGTTGGTTTCCAATAAACCTTATGTCCTAGCGACCCATCATCATGTATAGTGAAAAGAACATCTAAGAAAGGTATAGTTTTATCATCCTTCTGTACTTCAAAAGTAAACTTGATCGATGCAAACTATTAATGTGGTCTAGAAGCTTTTGTAGATTATCTAGTCCATGAGACCAGCTACTCAATGTATCATCCACGTATCTGAACCAGGAACCAGGTTTCAACTTTGCAGTAGCTAAGGCCTTCTTTTCAAATTCCTCCATGAACAAATTAGCCATAACAGGCGACAATGGACTTCCCATTGGAGCGCCGTTTGTTTGTTCATAGAATTTCTCCCGCCATTGAAAACATGTCGTGGTCGAACATAGTTTCAACAAATCATGAACATTCTCAGGAGAAAGATTAGTTCTTTGAGATAAAGTAATATCTGAAAGAAGTCTTTCTTTCGCGATATTACAAGCCTCTTCAACTGGAACATTAGTGAACAAGCTAACTATACGTCAAAACTTACCAGAATGTCATTCTTACCCAATCTAATTTGTTCCATTTTTGTTACAAATTCTTTAGAATTTACTACATGATGTTCTGTTTTTCCAACAACTGGTTTCAATATCTCAGCGAGATATTTAGCCAGAGCATACGTTGGCGAACCTATGGACGCTACAATAGGTCTTAGTGGGACATTAGGTTTATGTATCTTAGGCAAACCATAAAATTTTGGACAAACAGTAGCTGAAGGTCTCAAACAATTATGAAGTGTTTGAGACAAAATACCTGCCTTTTTAAAACCAGATAGTTTGGAACATATTTTACGTTCAATGTTAGCTGTAGGGTCTCTTTTAAGCTCTTTATAAGTTGAAGTGTTTAAAAGAGCCAAGATTTTATTATCATATTCTAGACGATCTAAAATAACCGTAGCGTTACCCTTATCAGCCTTTAAAATATGTATTGACTTATCTGCTCTTAAGTTTCTCAATGCATCCTTCTTATTCTTGGTTAAATTCGAAGCTGGAAGCGTTGCACGTCGTAGAACCTCAGTGATTTGGACGCGGATGTTACTAGCTGCATCGTTCGTCATGTGGTATAACTTCGGTTCCAAACGTTGTACAAATTCTTCTTTAGGTAGAACACGGGGTACCACAGCGAAATTTAATCCAAGAGCCAAGACATATTCTTCAACCGGCGTAAGTCTTCTCGCACTCATATTGATAACGGTGCGTTGTAGTGGATGACTGGCCAAATCTTCTTGTCTGCGATGCGTCCGACCAAAGGACGTCAATTTTGTGAATTTGGCAATCTGAGTGGAACGTGCTTTGTTGAAAGTTTTCGTAGAAGACGCAGAGATCATTCTTTTAGCTGTTGCATAGTGTTCTTCATTTAAAGTCATCCACAATTCTTCATTCAGAGATAAAATACGTTCATACGTTCATACATTCATACGTTCATCAAAAACTCTGTGTGTAAGACACTCATCAACCGAGCGAAAACAATTTGTGAGGTAAGTAACGTTGACAATGAATTAGAACATTTAAGAGCGTGTGCCTCTAAAAACCGCCCACTGACTTGGAGCTCGAAAAATAAATTTCTTCGAAACTTTTACCGTGAACTACATTTACTTTAACAACAAACAAATGCTATGTGGAATTTTGAAAATATATTTAGTTTCAAAGTTTTAGCGATTTTTTGGTCTCGCACCGTCGAGGGAGAAATTCGCCGGCTAATTAAACGAAAAAATGGGCTGAATTTAAATAAACATAATTTCAAAAGTTTTTGTTCAAAATTTATGATATTCACACCCAGCACCGGAAAACTATCGTAATTTCATCTAAACTCACTTAGGTTTTCAATGGCGGAGCATTTGTGACAATATTTAGCGACAAAGAACGTCATGTCAAAATACGGCTTTCAAATCCTACTATTTTCTACGCTGAATTTCTTAAAAGTGGGACCTAATTACATACAGTGACTAGTATAATTGGAAAAAGGACACTTTGAAGTACTAAAAACCGTAATAAAACTCGTCTGCAAACGCGATTTGAACAATTGAGAGCGTTTGAAATTTGATACTCTTTATGGCATTTTGTTTACATTAGAATATTGCTGAGGTCAGACGTCTGAGTTCGTTCTAAAAATGCGCTGTAGTTCTGCATAATAATCTTTCCCTCAAATAAGTGTATAGCAATATAGTACTAATCTATATTTCTTTGTTTATGTCCACCGTAAATGGTTCCAAGGGATTTAAAATAATAGGCATGTTAAAATCAACAACTTGACCAAATTAATATGCTACTCGGGGAAAAGCCCGTATGCAGCGCGAATTCTATATGTGTGTATTTAGTGTGATTTAGAGTTTGCGTTGCAGCATACTAAACTATTGCTTAGTTTGAAAAGTCTATATATGTGCGACAGTGCGAAGTTTAGTTCTGGAACCTTTCTGCGAAGTTGATCTTTGAATTATATTGCTGTAAAATTTGAGAGTTAGTATGGATAATCTGTGTTCTTTTAATGCTATCGATTATATTGCTTATAACAAATTATCAATGCGATTATATATCTCTAATTTGGACTATATTTATCACTTACGAGAACCAACTTGCACAAGTACTCCATAAATTTGGAATACATCCCGTGATACTTCCAGGTTAATGACATCTTTTCCTTCGCAGCGACGTGCAGGCGCAGTGTGAAAGGATGTTGGCATGTTAGACGAGATCTCCAGTATCGGCCCAAGTTGTACCGGTGGTTTGGGCATACTGTCATAGAGCGTATTTCTTCCCTTGATATTTCATGTAAAAATTCCGCTCTTCTCAAAATCAGCTCGCGCTCGCTAAAACCAGATTTCGACAAACGGCAACTTGAAAGATGGTTTTGAATGTTCGATTCACCCCGACACCCTCCGCATACAGTTGAATCGATAGCATTAAAAGAACACAGATTATCCATACTAACTCTCAAATTTTACAGCAATAAAATTCAAAGATCAACTTCGCAGAAAGGTTCCAGAACTAAACTTCGCACATTTATAGACTTTTCAAACTAAGCAATAGTTTAGTATGCTGCAACGCAAACTCTAAGGCAGCGTTTACACTGTACCGTTTTCGTAGCGTTCTCGTATTGTTCTTAATCGTCAAGGGAACGCAAGACAATAGTCTAGTTCTCTCGAACAATACGAGAACGCTACGAAAACGGTACAGTGTAAACGCTGCCTTATACAGGGTGTCTCAAAAAAACCCAAAATCATTGAAATTGACGTATTGTTCGATATTCAATGCCCTAGCACTAAGTTAATCCCACGAGTGCATAAAAGATTGACATAACTGCTATAATGAATGGTAATACTCAGCGTAAACGTGTTATGTCAGGCATAAATACTAAACCCACGAATTTACGAAGCATTTTTAAATTCCCATGAGCAAACAAACGTTCACTTTACAAAGATATTTTAATTTTTTAAAACAAATTAATCACCCTGTCAAAATCCTTTGTGTTACGGCATTGAAATTCGAACAATACGTTATTTCAATGATTTTGGGTTTTTTTTGAGACACCCTGTATGCTGAACCGTGGTGCGTGAAATATTATGGAGTGGACATGCAATCTCGTACAGTATGCATGGCAGATTGTTCCCAGTAGCAGACAATCTTTTGTTTAAACGTTATTTCAATTTCTAAAGGTC